CAGGCAGAACAACAAGGGGACCGCCGCTCTTTTTGCGGTCATTCGAACGTTCATGCCCAAGCAACCGCGGATGCAGACCCAGATTCGGGGTCCGGAGGCTCTCCGGTCCTTCTCAGCGCGGAAAGCAGTTCCCCGTCATCTGGCCCCCGTCCTGCTCTGGAAACTTGGTGATCTCATCGGCCCTGCCTTGAAGGGTCTGCTGACGCTTAAACTCCTCAATCCCTCTAGTCTGTGTTATTTGAATGCGGCTGCGTTTCTGCTGGCCTTCACACTTCGAGCTTCCTCGCTCGTCAACAGCAGCTCGAGTGGTTTGGGTCTTGTGGTGAATTATTTGTGTCGGGGTCATTGACGGGTCGTTGACTTACGCCATTTTATGGCCTGGCAAGCGTTGCTGGTAGGGTGGGGCCATGTTGTAGGAGATCTTGCCTTTCAGCAAGATTGCGCGGAGTTCCTGGGCCATCGACTAGACGTGGGGGGCCCCCTGCAGCGCAAGGCAAGTGGCAAGCTCGCACCATCCCTGAAACGGCCCAGCCGGCGCCGGTGCGGGACTCAGGTCAGGGCATTCTTTGCCTTGAACTGCCTGATAGTGCCACAACCATCCAAGACTGCGTAACGCACTGGCGTGCACAGCATGATCCACTAGTGTGCCCACACGCTCTGGTGCGGAACATCGCATTCAGTGTACGCCGCGCGCTGAGCTTCTCATTCCTGTTTTCCAGGGGAGCTCAACCTCGGTGACGATGAGCAGATACCGCCTGCTGGCGGGTGTGTGTCATCTTGGAGACACAGTCTGCAGGGGACATTGCCGTAGTTTCAGGGCAAGCGGGGATTTCGCCTCTACAACGGCGCCTCGCGGGAGTCCGGCCTGTACTGAGGACAGCAAGCCGGCCGCTAGATGTAGCTCCAAAGCAGTTGAAAGTTTTGGAGCAGAACTGTTATGTTCTCTGTCTTCAGCTTGGCTGGGTAGGTGGAGTATGCTGCAAAGTCGTCCCTGCCTGCTGGTAGTGTCGCTACGGGGCAGGGTTTGAGACGTACTGCGCGGGCATTTTAATGCGAGTACGGAGATGTCATAGTACAGTCGACTGGGCCGGACTCTCTATCAGGTCTGTCTCCCCTTCCGCAGAGTTCTGCGATTTCAAAGTCAAGAAGTCTCTCTCTCTCTCTCTCTCTCTCTCTCTCTCTCTCTCTCTCTCTCTCTCTCTCTCTCTCTCTCTCTCTCTCTCTCTCTCTGTCTCTCTCTCTTTGTCCCGACTCTCATCTCCCTCCCCTCTCTATCTCCCTGTCTCTCTCTTCCTCTCTCTCTCTCTCTCTCTCTCTCTCTCTCTCTCTCTCTCTCTCTCTCTCTCTCTCTCTCTCTCTCTCTCTCTCTCTCTCTCTCTCTCTCTCTCTCTCTCACTTCCTTCCTCTCTGCGCGCACGCGTGTACGAACTCGCGCGCGCGCGCGCCCGCGCCAGAATGATGAGCATCAGCGGGGTGGGCCTGGGAGCCTTAGCAGCATTCAACACACGCGTTTGCCCTTGCATTCTTTTTTTTGAGTAAGGGGTTACTTGGGGATTACCAAACAGCGCATCATGCGCGTAAAATGGGGAATCACTCGATATTTACGAGGTTTTCTGTCCTGGGAATTGAACTTCCGATTCTGATTCTGAAGATCACGGACAAGACTAAAGATTGTTCAGTAAGTGGCATCAATATCAATGTTTCGGTTAACATATCTAAAACGCAACTAATTGTAAACGCTTGCGCGAGCCGCCTCGGCAGCCGGGCTGGCCCCAGGACAGGAAAGAGGGTTTCTGCAAAAAAAGGGGAGGACAGGGGTGAGGGGGTGAGGGGGGGGTGAGGGGGGGGGTGCGCTCCCTCCGTAGAACCCGCCCACATGCGGGACCCTCCACGGCATCAGTTTGCAGCTCCTCCAAGCGATGGGGGGGGGGGTCCCACAGGGTGGGGGGCGGGGGGGGTTCTATGCGCTGAAGATCTGATACCTCAAAAAAAAAACTCTGTCAACTGCTTAAAGTTTCCGAATTTGTCACCAACTTTGACGACATGAAATAGAAACATGCATCTGTTGAAAATTGATAGATTAAACAAACACTTACCCGAAAGAAAGGCAGCAAACTGTATTGCAATTGAAAAGCCCTCACGCTCCAGAGGAAAATAACATATACAAAATCTTAGTGTTCATCGTTGTTTTGATGCCTGATGCGCGTGTTTGTGTCATTCTCCGCAATTGCCGGTGGTCCTCAACGCCGGCGCGTCTCGTAAGTGTCCACTTCTGTTGTGTGGGCTCTGTGCCTGCAGGGGTGGGTGCAGTCATCGCGCGTTTGCAACCGATAGTCATGAAGCGCATGTTTTCACTGTAGCCAAAAAAAGCAACCACCCTCACACCGTACATGGAGGCCCCAGACGCATAGGCCTACCAGACTTGCGTTGTGCGCGGTGAGAGCCTTTGGCATGCTGCTGAGTGGTTGATGGTGGTGTTCTCAGCTTAGGCTTCAAAAGCCATCTTCAGACCTTTTGAAACCTTATCCCCCTCACTTTCCTCTGTGGTAGCTCATTTTTTATCAAGCTCTGGGCCATTGCCCTCGACCCTGTCCTCGATCTTGTGTCCCACATGGCTAAGTCCCTATTGCCAGCCGCATCTTCGAAGCAAAGTCGGCTTTTCTTGAAAGAAGAAAGGCTGAGGGCTTGAGGTTGCGGAGTTTGCGGGGTTGTGAGAGCATCTGCACTGAGACCACATAGCCCGTTTTCTTCTATCCCTTCAGGGAGCGTTGATCAGTCATGGCCACTCTACTTTGTGACTTCACCAGGCCTCTACATACAGCTATGACCGCAGCTGACATGCTATGACATCTCAAAAGCCGTTGAAGCTCTGAAATGGCCTGAATCTTGAATCGACCCAAGGTTCTGCTGGTCGCCTTCTTGGGTGCCTCCCTCTCCTTTGTGGGCCTGCGCGCAGCGCCTCGCCAGGCCGTCGAGACTAGGTGACTAGATGCAGGGCGCTTCGGGCTCTAGCTGGCGCTGTCGGACAGGTCAATTCTCGAGATCAGAAGCTGAAATTGAGTTTCCCTGAAGGATTAACGGAATCGAGTTGGGCACCTCAGATCATGCCCTGGATACAGAACAAGCAGAGGGATACGTGCAGCAGACGTTTGGAAGCACCCGCAGAAAGCAGGAGAGTTCTGGCAAGCTCTTGGTCCCACTCAGAAGGCACTCTAGTGCATTCAGGGGCGAACCCTTGTCACCCCGGGTGAACTGCGTCAGGATGCACGCACAGCACTGCGGGGACAAGCCGGCGCCTCCGCGACGCCATGGCATCTCGGTTCGGCTTCTTGTGCTTCTTGTGCTTCTTGTGCTTCTTGTGCTTCGGTTTCTTGGATTTCGTGACATATAAACGCAATGATGAACGCAAGAGCTCCCTTGAGACGGACTTGCGCTGGGTGCTTGGTCTGTTCCATGTGGTGGTGGCGAGCAGAGGCTGTTTCAAAAAAGCACCCAATAACAACCACTTCTAAGCGAAATCCGAAGGCCAGAATGAAGAAACCTCAGGCGCCACGCAGCTGCCTCTCCTCAAGGTCCCCTCTTGGGCTCAAAGCTCCCCTATCCGAGGGACTGAGCTCTTGGATGCATGGGATCATCATCTTCTCTGGACTGCGTGCGACCTCTGTCACTTTGTTGACCACCTTAGCAATTCAGGGCAAGCGGCCTTTCTGAACCTCGATCTGAAACCATTGAAATTTTCGCCGAAACCTTCGAAACTTAACGCGGACTGCAGGGAGGACTAGCCAATGAGATCACAATCAAAGCCATGAAGCCCAGAATGACACGGATCTCGATGGGCGAGATCATCTTGAAGATCCCGAGCTAGGTGGTTTGCCAAAAAAGGTCGGTTCAGTGGCTTTGCTCCGCAGCCTGATGTACAGCCTGGGTAAACAAAAATGACCTTGCCTGGTGGTAGATTCAAGATTGAAGCCCCAGCTCTTAAACCTTCAACAAATTGCTCACAGCCCTTCACAACCCCTCAGTCCAAATCAAAACGATAATTCCAAAGGGTGCCAGTTTGTTTGAGTGGGGGGGGAGAATGTCTCATGCCAAAGCGAGCAAGCCCAAACCATCCTAATCGCTCCAAGAAGAAAGAAGCCTGTGAGCCTGAGGACACCGGTCCTTAGCCGTGACGTGGTGGAGATCGAGCACCGGCCTCAGGACTGGGGCGTGGTCAGGCACCGAAAACTTGCTTTTCAGGGATGTGGCAGTGTTTTGCCCAGCCATGATCAGAGCTGCTGCTTAGGTGGAGAAGACAGAAACACGATAGGCGTGATAAGAAGCATGTTCGAAGCCAGCAAGTCTTTGTTGTTCAGAAAGGTATTCCCAAATCCCTTCCCGACGGGGGGGGGGGTGTGGCATCGAAGTCAAGAAGCCGCTCTCAGGTTCACCGCCCCTGCGCAGGGGGCCCGCTGCCGCTTCATGATCAAGGCAGGTTCCTCTCTCGGTGTTTGTACAACACTCTTGAGTGGGTTTGGGCATGCCTGTCGAGCCTGTCGAGCCTGAGATGCCGAGAGAAAGAGGAAGATGGGAACCGAAGCAACGTTACTTCCTGTCGGAAAACCGCATACTGATGCGAAGAAGAATGTCCAACAGATGGCATAAAGTAATGAGCAAATCACGTGAATCACGTCTGCTCCTCTTATCTCCACATGGACATGGAGCCTTTGAATCTTTGATTTGTTATCAGGTCTCGGTTTCGTTGCCTTTGGACGGTTCGCACTGCGCCTGCAGAGGCTGATGCGGATGTCAGCGAGGCGAGCTGTGTCGAGCGTGCCGTTTGTGTACCAAGAACAGCCGGGCTCCACGAGTCTATGACGGGTACATGGGGGTACAGGGCTAGACTTGGTCATCACTGGTAGCCGCTAAAGGAGAAGCACTGCCCTTTGCCAGCTTTTTCGTCAAGCTGTTCAGTTGAAGGTGCTGTCCGAGGGCCGCAAGAGGCTGGGCTTCGACCAGGCATGGATGCCGGACTCCGACTTCAAGCGCCTGGGCTCGACGGAGCTCAACAAACCTCAACGCATCTCAAGATGCGCTGTTTTCCACGTGGGCTCAGCAGATGTGCCAAACCTCGCAGACGATCTAGGTGTAGGATGTTTTTAGAATGTTTGGGTTTTCCTGAAGGATCTACAACTCCGAGGACGAGGAAGCCGGCCCATTGAAGGCCCTGCACTTGGTTTATAATTAAGACCTTCAGATGCCTTTCTGCCGAGCCAGTCAAGCCTTTGCAGGGCAAGATGAAGGACAACGGCCTCGTTGACTTCACCTACGAGGCCTTACCCGAGAAAGGAAACTCAGCAAACTCCCTTCTCCGCCTTTGAAGCCAAGACTTGCCAAAAGTTGAAGAGCCATCCCAGGGAAGCCAAGACAGAAAGGTTTTGACGTAAAGGGAAAGAACTGTGAGCTGTAAATGACCGCAGCGCTTTTGCTGGCTGCAAAGAGGGAACCGACATGCAATTTGTAGCTGGGATGTTGGATGTGGGCTTGTATCCTAGCTGCAAAGGGTGATTCTCTCTGCTCTTGACGGTGAGGTACACCTCTACTACGAGCCGCAGTGAGACGATGGCAAGTTCTGACCCAAAGTGAGACGACTTCATGCGGAGTCATCGAGCCCTGTACACTCTTGAGCTGGCCAGCAATCCTAGGTCAAGGCACACAGCGTTTTGGGAAGGCTCTCAAAGCGTGCCTTTCTCCCGAGGGCTGCAGATGCTTTGCATCGCGGGCCTTCTCCACCGAGAAAAGCATCGGGGTCCAAAACTGTTCGCACATCCCTTGCACAGTGCTTGCAATTTGGAGAGAAGGGTCGTTATGCATCCCTCAGTCCCTCAACATGCAACACCCTTAGCGCTCCTGGGAGATCTAGATTTGGATTGTTGGGAGTCCCGAGCCCTGGCAGCTTTAACAGGAGGCTCACCCGCACCTCAGCCCCCACCCCGCGCTGGAGAGATGGCCAAATCCAGCTTGCTGTGTGCAGCAGCCTGGAGAAGTTAAAGTGGTGGGTCTGAATCCCTCTTGTATTGTGTTTACTTGTTGCTGATTTGACGAATAACAAGCTCACCAATTCTTAGGAGGAACTGCCATCGCTGACAACATCTGTCATGTGGGACTTGGTAAGACGAGCTAATTGAATTTTGCCAACCACACCGCACCTTAGGTTCTGCTTGTCGCCTTCCTGGGCTCCTGCCTGACCTTTGTGGGACAGCGCACACCACGCCAGGCGGCTTGCGAAATTCCCCATGCGACTGCCCTGACTTCCCGCTAGGTTACGCATGATTACGTCGCCTCCAGAAAGCACTCGTAGGTGCGTGTTCTGATGAGTTCTTCACATGTTGTTCTCGGGGCGAGGAAAGCCGCACAGCGCTACGAGGACAAGCCGGAGCCTCCGCCACGCCTTGGCACCTTGGCGCGCAGCTTCCGACATTTCGAATCATTCCGAATCATTCCTACGTGAGCTGTTGACCCGTGGGTTTTGCGGCTTCGTGCGCGAGAGTTGCACGAGTTGGGACCCACATGGACCCACCGCATCCACCGCCACCGAGGACACCTGTCCTCAGCCGCGACGTGGTGGAGATCGAGCGCCGGGCTCAACCTCCAAAGGAGCAGTGGCTGAATGTGTCGCCAAAAGGCTACGGCTTCGCACGACGGACAGAAACATGCAGAGCTATGCACTGGAGCTCTCTAAAGAACTTACGAGAGTGGACAAAATTCTATGAGATTGGTGCAGGCGTGGGGGCGATGAGGGACTGAGCGCGGCGAGGGCGATAGAGGCGTATACGGCTGCGCTAGAGCGCGATAGAGATCAGCTAACGACAGACAAAGCCTTGCCTATCCTTCACTAACGCCGACCCTGCGAGGGGGGGGGGGAAGGTGTTGTGCTGTTGTGTTGTGTTATGTTAGGTTATGTGACGAACGTGTTCCTTCTAGTCGTTTTCGAGGTCTGCGGTTCTTTCAGTGTGAAAGATGTGGACAACAGGCCTCCTTAGACAAGGGAACTTTAATTTGGGAGACCCATGTCTCAGCAGATTCCTCACAATTCTAAGGGCCCAGTGCATTACTTAAAGCAGCTGGGTAAGAGGATGCGGTTTCCATTAAGAACAAAAGGCGCGGCATTTGTTTGCTGTCTGGAAGTCCAGATAGTGAGTAGCCTTGTTATGCGTGGACGTGCGTACTTATCGATCGGCTCTCCCTTGAATCCTAGTCGAACCATGGAGGCGCCCCTGTGTACTCTCAGCATTCTCAGGTTCACCGCCCCTGCGCAGGGGGCCCGCTGCCGCTTCATGATCAAGGCAGCCGGTGTTTGCGCGACACTCTCGAGTGTTTGAGCCGGGTGTTGTTGAACATGTTTGAAGTGGAGTCTGTGTAGGGCTGAGTTGTGTTATCAGGTCTCGGTTTCGTTGCCTGTGGACGGTTCGCACTGCGCCTGCAGAGGCTGATGCAGATGTCAGCGAGGCAAGCTGTGTCGAGCGTGCCGTTTGTGTACCAAGAACAGCCGGGCTCCACGAGTCTATGACGGGTACATGGGGGTACAGGGCTAGACTTGGTCATCACTGGTAGATGCCACAGATGGAGGTAGCAGGCCGGAGGTAGCAGGCCAAGATCGGATGTCAGGGAGTGTCGGAGAAGCACTGCCCTTTGCCAGCTTTCTCGAGCACCACCTTGTGGTCTATAAGGTAGCCGTTGCAGCTGTGCCCGAGCCTGTCAAATCCAGTTGAAGGTGCTGTCCGAGGGCCGCAAGAGGCTGGGCTTCGACCAGGCATGGATGCCGGACTCCGACTTCAAGCGCCTGGGAGCAATGCCTGCGGGGTTCCGACGGGGTCCGACCTGCGGTTTCTTGAGCCTGGATTTCAGGCAGTGGTATCGAAAAACACGGTTCAATCTAATGGATGAAGTTCAAAGTATGTGTTAAGACATACTATTCATCTAATGATTCAAGTTCAACGTATGTGTATACATGTCATGAAACCTTCGATATATCCAGAAAATGTAGAGCGACAAAGGATCTACAACTCCGAAGACGAGGAAGCTGGACCACTCAAGGCGAGGGGCAGTTGGAGGGTCAAAAAGCTGAAGAGGCCGTGGCCCGGACTTGCTAATCGAATGTTGCTACAGTAAAAATGCTCAGGGCAAGATGAAGGACAACGGCCTCGTTGACTTCACCTACGAGGCCTGGCTCGCGAATTGGGGGGGACGGGCTTCCGGGGTGCAGTTTTGCGTTGCTGCCTCAGCGAAGATGAGCCGAGACTGCATGTAACGAAGGGCAAAGATTCGGGAGTGAGTTCTTATATTTTGTTTAAGACCTCCTTGCTAGGTCCTCATGTTTCAGGGATTCAAGGTGGGTCAGACAAGTTGTTCTGATGGACAGGCTTCACACAGCAAAATCCTGCGGATTCTGTATAATATGTGTGGCCGATTATAAAGTTATAAGCATCTAGATGCTGCACGCAAGCTTGGACTTACCTTCAGCTGTGTGTGGGTGTTTTGAAAATGGTCATGTAGAAATCAATGACCGGCTGTGCCCCAGCGACCACAACTCAGTTCCGGGCAAGTCGTTTTTTTTTTTGCTGTGTGGCAGATTGCAAAGCCTTTGTCGTGTTTTTCATCGTATTGCTATCATAGCAGCAGATATTGATCAGAGGCCGCTGATCTGATAATGGAGTTCCGAGGTCCGAAGCTCGTAGGCCACTGAACCGACACATAGCTCGGATTCGGCGGCGACTGATCTGTTTTGTCTGGCTGGTGAGCGTTGTAGGATAAGCTGTTGTGCATGGCGAGGGCTGGTCCACTAAACGTGGTCTACCGCCATGTGCAATCACATGAACACGAAGAGCACTCTGGCTCATGCTGCGTACGTTATCATCGTTCACTCACTGAAACCAATGGTTGTGGAGGTGCTTCCGCGAAACAGGAAATATGATTGTTTTAAGAACACATGGGGACATGGAGAGTGGGCGGATGCTCATCCATTTCGGTTTGTTCGCAACATCCGGCAGGTTATGTTTGTCTGTCTGTTGCTTACGGAAGGAGTCGTAGATTATATGTATGTTATTCATCCTCAATGTTTTCTAGTTGTTCGTGTGATTTTGAAAATTGGCAGGCTTTTCCATGTTTCGCGTTTGGTCAGCTTTGTCACGAACAGCTCAATGTTTGAGCAAGGATTGTGAAAACAGATGTGAAAAGAGGATAAAAGAGGTTGGTTTGTCAATGGTAAGGAGCTTGTCAAGGCAGAGCCCTTGGTTTTTCCACGCACAAAGCCCATGAGAAAAACAAGGCAGTTGCGAAAGCTGAGCGCAGAACCGGCAGAGGTCAGACAGTAGGACAAGAAATGCGCGGGGCATGGAACACCTTCCATTGGTAGTGCAGCAGGGTGTCACACCATGGCCGTAGGCCCATGACAGAAATCGTTTTGAAGACATTTGCATGTGGCCCACTAAAAAGGGTTCTGTGCATGACAATGATTTTGGACCACCTTCACACACGCTTTGGCTCTACAGCATTCGTTCTATTGAGCCACTAGTGGCTGATGCAGTGCCAGTTGGATTACATCGTTAGGTCGTTCCGATCCGGCCTTCTGGCAAGGTATGTGGCATGTATGCATGCACAACTACAGAGCACAGTCTCTGTTGACTGGATGACAGGTCCACCTGTACTACGAGCCTCAGTGAGATGGGTAGCTAGCCAGGAGCCAGGGTTCGCGGCAGGTCAGCAAAGCAGCTGTATTGAGATGATGCACACACGCACACGATGCAGCCATGCTGATGGGATTGCAATTTGAGGACCGCCCAGACGAAGTTCAGGGTTGCACATACAGTAGTTTTGGCAGGCTAGCTCAAAGTGTCCGTTTCTCCCAAAGGGTGCAGGTAGATGCTTTGCATCGCAGGCCTCTCCGGTAGAAAAGGGGCTGCCCCGGGATGCGCTTGCTTTCGGCTGTGCTTCTGAGAGTCTCCAGCAGGTCTCCGCTGTTTTCGCATGCCTCTGACAGTCGGATGTCAACATCGAATTGATCCATGTTAAATCCCCCAAATCCGCTAATCTAGTCTAGAATAGGGCCTGGAATATCAGAAGCGGAAATCCTGAGCCTTTCCGACAAGCACAAATGCCACCCACCCACCCATCCCGCCACCACCCATTCAGAGCCTGAAGCCCCGGTAGCGGGCACGCCGCTTTCTTTCAGATATTTTTTGAGGGAAGCTGTCCCAAGAGGGTCAGGTTGGGTGCCAACTCGTCACTTGTAAGTCACATGTCCCGGCGGGTGCCACCACTTCGGACCCAAGAATCAAAGTCTGACATGGCGTGTACTGTGTACTTGGGTGGCCTCCCACATGGCATGTTTGTTGAAGGCATCTGATCTTACAGCCCCCCTGGACTACCAACAGGGCTGTCAGCAAGCCACGCGAGTGTTGAGAAGTTTCAGCTGCTTGGTGAGGATCAAAGGAGGCCCGAGCACCCACCAATCCCCTTCTCCCAGCCGTTCTCAGCCATGACCAAGTCTAGCCTGCTATCGGGCGCCTCTCAGAAGCAGCGATTTCTGTGATTCGTCTTCTGATAGCATGGAAGATCACGAAAAGGAGCCCTGTCGAACGTTGTTTCAGTTGGCTCCAGGGACAGCAGGCATGCATCTTGATGTGATCTGGCCTTTCATGGCTACACCATGCTGCACCGCAGCCCCAAAAAGCACAACTCTACGCCGAGGTCATGCTGGTCGCATTTTTGGGGTCTTCCCTCTCCTTCGTGGGTCTGCGCGCAGCACCCCGCCAGGCCATCGAGATGACCCCACAGCCGCCCAAAGAAACCCAAAGCAAGGCTTTTTCCACCCAGAGGGTGGGCTGGGATTGAGGGCTTGAGGTTTGGGGCCTTCTTCGGGGTCTTCGGGGGTTTGGGCTTGCTGTTGAGGCTGTACAAAATTTTGTATGATCCCTGTACGCAGCTTTGGCAAGTCGACGTAGCAGCGGGACGGCCGGAAGGTCCCAGAATCGTCTGAGAAGCGTAAAAAATGGGCTCAACGAGAAATATCGATGGGATGCAGGATAATCTTGGTGACCAGGAGAGCCGCACGGCACTGCGAGGGCAAGCTGGCGCCTCCGCCACGCCCTGGTGCCTTGGCTTTTCGCTGCCAAAGAGCCCCCGCCCCGCAGTAGAGGACGTAGTTGGATGTGTATAGCCTTTTCAGCTTCAGTGCTGTTTTCCTTCTTTTGTCGTCTTTGGGGTGTGCTGTCTGGAGATTGTGTGGGTCTTTTTTTTTGATTTCGCCTCAGGACGCCGGTCCTTAGCCGCGACGTCGTGGAGATCGAGCGGGAGACTCAGAGAGGCAGCTCTCAGAGGATATCCTCAAAACCGCCCCCTTTTCAGTCACTTTCTCAAACGCATGAGCAAGCTGGGCGAGCGCGACAAAACACGGTCATGAAGCTATGAGGCCGTTTAGGGGTTGTGTGTGTGCCGAGCACGTATGGCTCTTCTCTTGTTGATGCCCACGGCCGGGAGCAGTCGTAATTGTAAACGCTTGCGCGCGCCGCCTCGGCAGCCGGGCCGGCCCCAAGGACGAAAGAGGGAGGAAGGGCGGGGGGGGGTTGGGGTGGGAGGGGGGTTTTTGAGGCACTCCCCCTGAGCCACCGACAAGCGGGACCCTCCACGGCATCGGTTTGCAGCTCCTCCAAGGGATTGGGGGGGGTCCCACAGGGCGGGGGGGGGGGGGGGGTGGCGTCAAAAAATTTGGCATGAAGGGAAGGGTTGGGTTAGGGGGAAGGAGGCCCGATCCGGGTCTGCTTGTTCCAGACGCTTCTCGGCAGGAAGCCGAGGCGAATTAGCAGTGACGAGACGAGACTGGGGCAGTGCATGGACTTGTATGCAGCCACGGTCATGTGCATTCGCTGGCTGATGTAGCTTCCGAAGCCATCCGAAGAGTAGAGAGCCTGCATGGAACCGGGGGGCCAAAGCAAACCACGGACAGCGGTGCCCAAGGTTCACTGCCCCTGCACAGGGTGCCCGCTGCCGCTTCATGATCAAGGCGTTTTTTCATGTTCTTGCATGCGTGCGTGCGTGCGTGCGTGCGTGCGTGCGTGCGTGCGTGCGTGCGTGCGTGCGTGCGTGCGTGCGTGCGTGCGTGCGTGCGTGCGTGCGTGCGTGCGTGAGTGCGTGCGTGCGTGCGTGCGTGCGTGCGTGCGTGCGTGCGTGCGTGCGTGCGTGCGTGCGTGCGTGCGTGCGTGCGTGCGTGCGTGCGTGCGTGCGTGCGTGCGTGCGTGCGTGCGTGCGTGCGTGCGTGCGTGCGTGCGTGCGTGCGTGCGTGCGTGCGTGCGTGCGTGCGTGCTTGCGTGCGTGCGTGCGTGCGTGCGTGCGTGCGGCTTGGGTTTGTGTGTGGGTGTGTGTGTGTTTTTGTGTGTGTGCGTGTGCGTGTGCGTTTGCGTGTGCGTGTGCGTGTGCGTGTGCGTGTGCGTGTGCGTGTGCGTGTGCGTGTGCGTGTGCGTGTGCGTGTGCGTGTGCGTGTGCGTGTGCGTGTGCGTGTGCGTGTGCGTGTGCGTGTGCGTGTGCGTGTGCGTGTTCGTGTGCGTGTGCGTGTGCGTGTGCGTGTGCGTGTGCGTGTGCGTGTGCGTGTGCGTGTGCGTGTGCGTGTGCGTGTGCGTGTGCGTGTGCGTGTGCGTGTGCGTGTGCGTGTGGGTGTGGGTGTGGGTGTGGTGGTGGTGTGTGTGTGTGTGTGTGTGTGTGTGTGTGTGTGTGTGTGTGTG